ACTAGACATATTAAAGTAATGAAAAAACATGGTTGTGCTTTGTTCTACCTCGGGTAGGGGTACCTCAACTTTTAGGGTCCTTAGGTCCTCTACTATACATGAACACTACAAATATTAGGCTAATTATTATTTTATCATACAGGGGAAATTCAGGTTAGGTTAGCATGGAAGATTAGCCGTTCGGAGTTATATTACGCCTGGCTAGGTTAACAAAAGTATGGAAAGGAGTGGATGAGAGAAAAATAAAAAGATGGCACTGAGGAAAAGACATACCTATGTTAGAAAGGAGAGAAGGAGGAGTCTCCGTCTCTAAAGTTTACACAGTGCAAGGGTATTAAAGCTCCCCAGGCCCGCCTCCTTCCCCTCCCCTCAGATGTACTACTCCTACCATGTTGTTTCTTCACTCCACCACCACCACCACCACTGCCCTCCTCCTTTATCCCTCCCTTTCTCCTCCTCCCTCCTCGAGCCAGATAGAGGAGTGATCAACCTGAGAGTTTAAACAAACCAGAGCCGGCAGCGCAGAGCCGGCAGCGCAGAGCAGACACACTATCTTTCTCACACACACACACACACACACACACACACACACACACACACACACACTCATACAGCTGTTCAGCGCTGAGGGAACTCACCGGAGAGTACAGCTGAGGTAAATTTGATGCAGCTTTGAGAAGAGATTATACAACACAGCAGTTATAAAAAAAAGTTATATGGCTTAAAAGATGTATGCTTACTCTCTTTCATTCTGTCAAAGTAGATTATCTTGTTCAGTTCAGTGTTTGACTTAAGTTTGTGATGTTTTGTTGAGTTCCATCATTACAAGCCTTGATTTCATTGTTACTATCTTGTTTATAGCTGCGTTTTTGCACGGGACATCACATTTGTCCAGTGGTGGGGGAAGTACTCAGACCTTATAGTAAAAGTAGAAGTACCAGAGTGTAAGAATACTATGCTACAAGTAAAAGTGCTATCCAAATGTTACTCAAGTAAAAGTACAAACGTATTGACATCAAAATACACTTAAGTACCAAAAGACTCATTGGCCCATTTCAGAATAATATATATGATATGTTTTGATTATAATTATTGATCATTAAAGTGTTATCAAAGCTGGGAAAGCTGCTGCTAGTTTTAATGACTTTGTATACTGCAGGGTAGCTTGTGAATTTACTCCAGGTGGAACAAAAGTCTGATTTAACTGTTGATTGTATTTCACATCATTAATCCATATCTGCAAACTAACTAACGGTAGGCTATTTAATTAATGTAGTAAAAGTACACGAAGAACAAAGTAGCAAGACATTGAAATACTCAAGTAAAGTACAAGTCTCTCAAAGTGTCTTGTACTTAAGTACTGTACTTGATGTACATAGTTACTTTACACCACTGCATTGTCTCGTTGGCTGGTGGGAACTTCGAAGAGTTCGACAGCTGTCCACAAGCTAAAGGTCAAGTATTTTCCCTTTTGTGCTTTCAGACAGTGAGACATCTGTACCGGCAAACTTTCACCTCCTAACCCCTATCCATCAATCCCCCCTGCAGCCAAACCCTGACCGAAGCATCGCATTCTCCAGACGATCTGACTGTCAGACGTGAGATCTCAGACTGAGAGGCTGTCTGGCTACATCTGCACCGATGGAAGCCCCTACCCTGGCTGGGATGGCAGACTTGTGTTGCCCCCGGTCTTCTTCTCCAGAGGGGGAGACCGTATGTGCAGCTTTAGCCCGTTATGAGAATACTCTCCGGGACGCTATCAGGGAGATCCACGTGGACGTCAACGCATTTAAGCTGGGCATGGAGTGTCGTCTGGAGGAGACAGCCAACCTGAGCGGGCCTCTTGGACGAGCGGTGGCTCAGCTCCAGCAGGAGAACCGGCAGCTCAGGAGTCAGCTGGAGGCTCTTACTCTACAGGTGGAGCTCCTTAGTGGGATGACATGTGACAGGAGCACCGCGCTCAACGGCCACAATCACAGTTCGAATCACAAGAACCTCCTCAGTGACATTCAGGAGAACCATCAGGAGGTAAAAGAGGTGATCTATGGGAAGGGTGAGGCTCTCCTCCACGTCCAGCCCTGTGTTCCGGGGGGCCAAGCCCAGACCCACAGTGGCCTCAGCAGCCAGGCGTCCACACCTTCTACCTTGTTATCCTTGCCCATCTCCAGCAGCCCTCCTGTGGGCTCCAGAGTTTCCTCCATGGTGACGGGCCCGGTATCAAGCAGCAGCCCCTCCACTGCCCGCTTCTCCAGCCGAGCCACATTTGCAGTTTCAAGCAAGACTAATGTGAGTACTGTATGTTTGTAGAGAAGAGATGGCACATCATTTTATTATTTTTCGTTGCCACAATTAACAATTTCACCCGTCAGAGTTTGACATGTGTCTGCATTGATTTGACTTTAGATTTAATGGTATTTAACACTACTGATTATATAAAGTTATATAAATCTTTGTTGTTCTGTTTGGTTACATTACTTCTTTCAAATTTGTATTCCTTTTACTCTTTTTTACAATTGTAACTCTACCTATCCATTAGGGCCTAGTTACAGCTATTCACTTCAACATTTTTCAACCATTTATTTATTAAATGTAGCTAATTATTTCAAATATTAATCTATGACTCTTAACCAAGTTAACTGTTTATTTATTACCTCTAGCTTTCTATTCCAAATATTTCTCCATTGCTTTTAGCCAAATATTTGTCAGTATCTCCTGAACTTAATTAAAAACCAGCTATCAATGGATATAAATCCTCTTTTTGTTGTGTACAGTGAAATTTAAACTTTGAATTTAACCTATCATAGCATTTGGATACTGCTACGGAGCAGTGTGAGTCGTAACTGGCTACTGCCACCAACTGAGCCAATGACATCCGGGCATTCAGTTTGTTATCTTTTTATTTTTCCTCTTGGCAAAGTATCTAGAGGAGCATACACCACCAACTCTACTCAAGTTTTGAACTATACAGGAGCATGCAGATTCGAAACACTCACTAAGAGACAAATATAAGAAAGTGTGTGCCAACACGGCAGATTACAACATTTGAGTTAGATCTTCCAACACATGTTCAGGTGCAATAGTCAGACTCAATATGTGCATATATTCATATTTGTTTAGCTGTTTCTTTTTATGTATCCTGTCAACTGCAGAATACCCCCTGAGGTACCCAGGATACAAATTATTGCTTTACATGGACATGTGTCTAGAATTCCAAGACAATTTGTAGTTTGTGTCCTCCTGGGCTTTTGCACACAGACACTCTTGACATATTTGACCCACCACTTCACAATCCAGTGCCAGATATATTTTTAACATGGATGGAAATATAATATATACAGCAAAGGAGGTAATCCAGTAATTATGATGTAATTTTTCTTGGTTGGGAAAGGGCCAATGTGGTCAAATAGGCAGAATGTGAGTTGGACTGGAGCAGTGTTGCGTTGGCTGTCTCATTGCGGTTGCACAAAGGCCCTCCACCGGGATGCTTAAGGATTTATGAAGAGCAGTAACATGAGTCGACTAGGCTCCTGGGAGGTGAGGTTAGTGTGGTCTTGTGGTTTTCAGACCTGAGTCAATTATGTGAAATAAGCACCATGAAATGTAGGGTCTGGTTAGTCATTATTGCTGTCGTCCTTTGCAAAGCATGTGGGTCCAGGTTTGGAATATTTTATGTTTTAGCCTAACCTGAACAATTACAAGATTTTGGTTTGAAGAGATTCCAACCAATTGTTTGGTTCCTAAACGTTTCTGAATAAATTCAAGTAAGATCATACTCAATTGCAGCACTGATGGCCCATGTCACCGTTGTATTGTTGTATTGTATTGTAGTGGTTTTTAAGTTACTATCAGGGTTCAAATTTCACTGTCACCTTGGGATGCATGTTCATGGAAGTGTGTCCTGTGGAGTTGGACTTGTAACTCTTCTAGGATTCCTGAGCTGTAATAGTTGCATAGTTGAATTAGTTTCTGCCCTTGGCTTGCCTTGCTTCTGATGAAACCAAAAAGAAAATCTCTTGGCTTCCATCCTGCTGCATCACTCATTCCTTCCTGATCCTGTTTATAGGGTTTTCAGAACAGAAAGGACATTTTGTCCAAAGTACCTAAATATTTATATATATATATATATATACATATATATTTATTTTGCTTTTACATTTGTATGCTTGAGCGTGATTCAGTCACAACCCAGCCCAATAATACATTTCAGAAATTGTGACATGAAGGCAAAAGTAACCAATCTCTGCATTCATTGCAAGAACGTTGAAGCAATTTTAAGATAAGATAAGATCAAATATACTTTTATTGACAGTTTGGGAAATACATTTTTTCACAGCAGCATCTAGAAAATATCTTGCATATTTTTTAAGACACAGGAGCTATTGATAACTTTTCAACGTCATTGTTTCCAGTTGGTTTGTCGCCGCCACTAATGTCGCAAACGTCAACGAGATCGCTCATCGTTTTTCTTCGCAATGTGTTCCGGAACTCCTGTTATGTAGCAACATTTCTTCAAGACCAAATATTTTGCAGACAAAGATCCACATCTACACAGATACAACTGAGACCCACACAGCTTTATAAGAATCACATGCACACATTATGCAAATATCTGTTGGTTGTGTATCTGTAATTACGAAACTATGCAGTGGATACAACAGAGGAATTTTATCTTCTGTGAAATCATGTGGTCAGAGCGAAACAACACAAGGGCACCTTTGTTTCTGCCTGTGTCTGCCGTGGGAGATCCCCCACTGTCAGCCAAACACAGCACTGCAGAAACACACAGTTAAAACTTGAGACAAAATACACTGTCAAATTATATACGAGTGCACAAAGGTTCAAATGTATATGCTGCCTCCTACGGTATGGAAGTTAGCGTAATTTCATTTTATTGACCCACTTTCAGTTGTCAGATCTTCATAAAACTTGCAGATCACTCTTCCTGCTATGATCCTCAACCGTCGGTGAAGTGGAGACAGTACACAAAGTTCAGGTGACTGTTCAAACAGGCCTGATTGACAAGATACACGTACATTAACGCACACACAGCGACACATTGCAGGTATTTGTATTGGCTGGAATCCAAGCTAAATCCATCTGAGCCAGAGAGATGTGTTCCAGCCTGCTCTCCAGCTGTTACAGTGCACCTTCACCCGACCCAACTAAGCTGCCATACACACCTGCACACACACAAATCGTAAAACACACCTGCAGCACATTAGCATGACCTCGTTCATATGGAAATCACACCTGTAGCATTGGTAAATCATGAATATTTACTATTATTTTTTTATATCTCTGCCAGGCTTGGAGAGATAATGTGCTTGTGGTCATATTTGTGTATCTTACTGTGCATTTATCATACAGTAAGTGTTCAGCAGCTGCTTCAATACTTAAAGGTCACATGTCATGCTTTTCCTGTTATTAAAACTCTAACACAGAAAATACCTGTCTATGCTGCCCCAGAACGCCTCGTTGGAGATTTTTCTTTTTCTTCCTGGGTACAGTGACGTGCCCATACCCAAATGGACCCATTGGTCCAAATGGACCAATCCGTGGAGCTCCTCACACACACACTCTATCTGCGGCGAAACTGTGACGCGCTGGGNNNGGGGGGGGGGGGGGGGCGCGCTTACACTATAGGTGCACCGCGTTTGGGGGTGTGGGTGCTAGTGGAGCCTCGCGGATGGGGGTGCTGCAGCCCCCTCAGCATCCCCTCCTTCCCGCGTCCATTCGCGATGTCTCGCTGTCTCGCAGACCCCACGCAGCAAACAGGAAATGAACCCAGCTGACACTGTCCGCTCTTCGCAGCAGCGAGCGGCGCAACGTCCAGCCAACACGGCACCCAGACCCCACGCAGCATTCTCTTCTTTTTGTCATTACTGGTGTCATTTTCTGGTTGCTAACAACGCCATTGTAACACATAATCACTGATGTTCCGCTGTAACGGTGGTGATGGTGAGTGGGCGAGCTGACCAATCAGAGTACAGTGGGCTCATAGGGAGGGGAGGGGAGGGGGGGGGCAGGAGCTCCAACAAGCCGTTTAGGACAGAGAGTGAACACACATACTATACAAAGATGCTGTATGAGAAACCAATGTGAGTTTGGAACAT